GAAGCCTCTAGGTTTATTTAAAGTTGCATGAGGGTAGAGCCTCCATTTTGGTTCACAGCACTCTAGAGAAGAAAACAACTGTTCTTAACTCAAGATCATGTAAAAGACAATTTCATTCACAAGGATATTTCTAGTTTGTTAATTTGTGAACAGTTACTATGATGTTTCACAACTGCAGAAAAACAAAGAAAAACACACCACTTACTATCCAAACAGTTGGGAAAAAACCAAAACAAAGACTATTTTCTGTCTTAGCAACTCTATCATTATTTTGAACTCTATGAAAGGGAAGTTGAATGGAAAAATCAAGTCCCAGCATCTTGCAAGGATTTTCAAAACTTCAGATGATTGTAAGCAAAACTGCAACATGAGCAATTTAAAAAGTGTATCATCAGACCCATGAAAACATCCAAAGGATTTGGGTTCTCAAAGACACTTCCCTTTCAGCCATCCCACCAAAAGTATCTAGCCCATTACTAAAAAGCCTTCCCAGTATTGACTCTTCTCAGACTCAGACTGTTCTTTTCAAAGAATATTGGCTTTTAAAAATATCATTATACTTGGTTTCCCGTATAATTGTCTGTATAGTTAATGTATTATTTCTCTCCATTTCCATACTTCTTCCTGCAAATACTTCTCCAGATGTTATTTTTTGGATACTTATCTTGACCAGCAGAGTACTTGCTGGTTAATGTTAAGTACATAAATGAGTAATAAAATTACTTCACTATCATATTTTGACAGTTCAGCACCCCATCATATTTTTTACTGGATCATGTTTCAGGTAAGTATACATCAAATTAAACATACATCAAATTTTAAACCAGGATCCCAGCCACTTCAGGAGACTGCACACTGGAAAAAGAGTCTTAGTCTCAGCAGTCATGAATGCCTCTCTGCTAGGTGTCACCCTTTATTTCCCATGAATCTGACAGCTCCCTGCAGTTTGAGCATATTTCCTAAACTGCTTCAGACAATCTGCAAACGACTGATGAACACAGTGAAAACTGGAATAAGAAATTAACAAATACCTAAGGGTTGTTCTTTCCCATCATCACCACTTGGATATGACACATCTGTCTACAGTTTCAGAGGAAAGACAGGGATATAGTAAAGAACATACAAGATAAATAAAGATTTTTAGTAGATCAGAGGGTCTTGAGCAGCCTACTGCCAATTAAGCCTTTTTCATTCTTCTCTAGCACTAAAATATGAACTTAATCAAATTGGAAAAAAATCACAGCCTGTTCACAACTTGTTACTAAAAGGACGAAAAAGACTGAAACTCTTCTTACTAATATTTACAATGACCCATAAATATTTTTACAGATCAGTATTAATCACTGTGTAATCAGGATTGCACAGACAATAGACTAACTAGAAATGGGAGACTTCCAAGACAGTCACAATTCAGTGGGGAAATGAATTCCTGTCCTTCCCTCCTTCTCCCCCAGCTATGCAAAATTTCCACTTTAGATGTCAAGCAAGAGATTTACTATAATAAAAATCTAAAAGACAATGTATGCTTTAGAGGTGCACATTGCTTCTTTTCTTGAATGGCTAGACCAGCCCATGTTTTGGGAACCTTGCCCATAATAAAAAGGATACCTGTCATCATCTTGCAATGACTGGCCAGCCCCATGAGCTTCCTCAAGAAGAACAGGGCATTCCAGTGAGTCAGAGCCTGCTCCCAGTCTCACAGGGATTCCATAGAATGCAGTATTTGCAGACAGTTATAATGCTGACCAGTTATGCTAAACAAACATCAGGAACTAAAAAAAAAAAACCCAAAAAATTATAAAACCAAAGACTGAGAAGATGTGCAATTGAAAAGGGAAGCCAGGGAGATGCTTTCATAAGCAACTGTAATCAAAAACAGCTACTTTAATACAACAAGGCTGCAACAAACAGCTTGTTGTATATTTTAATCTACTATGAAAAGACATTCCCACAAAAGCTCTTTCTTTATCAGACCCCTGGTAAGATTCCCAGTCTTACAGAAATTATTGTTGAAACAAGGGAAGTTTTAATATTAATTCTTCTAGTGCTGCCATGTCACACTAAAACACAGGGGAAAGAGGAGAAAGGCAGAGGAAGTACACTTAGCACAGTCATCTACCTTGCTTGGCCACGTACCAAAAGATAGCAGTGCTCAGCCTACAGAAAATCAGGTGGCTGCTTTCAAGTCCGATACAGGATGATATACTAAACCCACACACATGAAACAAAACAAACACCAGCAAATCTGCATTTAAACCTGCATAAACAGCAATTTAAGCTTATAAAAGATATATACATGAATTATTTCCACCAAGCTCATCTCAAATAAATTGAGGATATCTGGTTACTAGAACTTCACCAATTGCCTGTTTTTTGTGCTTCTCTTCCTATGTAGCCCATATAGACTTTGTCACAAGGCTACAGTGGAACAGAACCATACACCTGACAGACTGGATATAATTAAACATAATCAAACACAACACAGAGCAATCAAACTTATAGCACAACTCAACAAAGCGAAACTTTATCATATGGGCAACCTACATGCAAGTAACATTACTGACTGGTAAAAATTCAAATTCACACTTCCTTCTGCAATATTAATACTACTACATGTGAGTCCTCTCCCTTAAGAAGTAAGCTCTCTCACATTTATGGAACAGTAAGACACAACTGAAACTCACAGAGAGCCTCAGAATTCATGGTCAGCTGCTCTGCTTGCTAGGAAGCTAAAATAAACCCAGATCAATCTATTTCAAAAAGCCATAGGTGATAAGAATTTTCTCTTTCCCTCCCTAAACCCTCTATTAGGAATGGCTACAGGTTGTTTTTGGTTTTTTGGGTTTTTTTTAAATTAAAAAATTACAATGCTCCATCCCACAGAACATTTTTCCTCACCACACACGGTATTGTTTTCCTTGCATCTTAGTATCCATCATTAACTAACAGTCACAGTGATTATCCTTGTACACCAATGACAAGATCTCAAGTGCAAAACCAAAGCCCTATCAGTCCAGAGGGGTGGATGGAGACGGGCAGAAATGGAAAGAGGACAGCTGTAAAGTGTTTCCATCTGCCACCCTCCCAAGTCCCTGACTGGAAACAGGAGCAGGGCACTTGGGAATTTAGCTCCTCCATTACAGATTACAAAATTCTGCCCAAGAAAACAGTGTCTGTTTCATAACTCTGTTAATTTCATGGGAAGATGTTAACATTTCTTGCAACATAATACACCTAGAAGCAGCACTGCTTTGAAATCTATTTGCTGAAGTTCTAAAGAGGAAATTTCACGAAGAATTAAGTTTTGTCAAGGGGCAGCCAAGGCACATACATCCAATAAGGTTTTAAAACCTTATACTGTTTGACATTTTAAAGCTAATTTTTAAAAAACTTTCTAAAAGATTACAAAGTCACTTTCTTAAATACAGAGTTACTATTCAATTTTTTTTCAATTTCTGAAAAATTATTCACGTTAATAAAGCAACACCCATTTTACTCCTTCAGAGCATTCAGCCCAGAACATTTAACAATAAACACGCACTCTGTCAGTGCCATGGTACGAGAGGACATAAGGTAACTCAATTCTAGATCATTCTGAAGAGATTACAGGTCTTTGAAAAAGGGAGAGGGAGGCAAAAGGGAGGTTATGTTTTTGTTTCATACTTAAAACATTACCTCCCGATTACCTCCCTTGTTAATCAAAAACATGCTGTACATTCTTTCATCTTAGAAAGTAACCATTAAAACAGACCTATCTAGCTCTTTGAAAAAAATAAAAAGTGAGGTAATAAGTTGTGAATCAAAGTGTTCCCTTCCAAATAAAACATCTGCAGGGGGAAAAATAGCTTAATAGAACTGCAGATAGGTAATCAAATGCCCTACTTCAACAGGGAGTAACAACTATGTGCACAGAGATTGAGATATGTCCTTGCAGCATTTAATCCTGTTCATATTGTGCAATTCATCTCAGCACGGTCAGAGCAACCACAGCTCTACTCCCACTTAGATGGAAAATTCCACTCAAGCTTAAGTGAAACTCTTCAAAAGCCCAACTTGAATTCTTTCTGCTCAACCCAGTTTTGTTCACAGAACTGCTCACTCCTTGCAAGCACAATACTCTGTTCATCTTCTCAGTGCAACAAGTCAATGTCACTTCCCTGTGGGCTCAGCCCTGGAAGGGGTATTGAGACCAAATACGGGTCACATTCACCTTTCCTCTCTCCTCACTGCATGGCTGACACTGGTACATCATCCTAAACAAAAATCTCATGGTAAGGCATGGCAATTACATGTCATAATTGCACTGGATTACCATGTAATTATATGTACATGCAGATGCTATAGAACACAACATTGCACTGAGAAATTCAAAGAAACAGTTTATATACACAATTTAATGACTTGATGCACAAGGCCTTTGGCATCAGACCTTCTCTTCAATCCTCTCTAGTAGGTTACTTCATTGCCACCTTCTGAAGAACTACCAAATGAATAGGAAAGAATTTTATTTTTGTTCATTTGCTACCGCATAATGAAAAATAGAAAGGGAAATAGATGGGAAAATAGCAACGTATTTGTTTTACCAAGATAAATCATCCCTGAATATTCCAACAAATGCAGTCAGAATGAACAGAAACACTTATAGCATTCAAATAACAAGAGTGTAAGAATTGCAGACAGACTTACAGCCAGTAACAACACACTGAGCTATATCATAAATACATTTACCTCTGCAGAATCCTTAGTATTTTCCCCAAGCAACCATAAACATTTCAATACTTTGCTAAGTAACGAGACAGAAAATGCATGTCTGTACACCCACCTACAACTTTTTGCCACAAATACATGGTAATTTTATGTTAGTTTTACACCTGCATCCACAGCATTCACTAGCAAAATCAATGGAAAGGAAATGCAGAAAACAGCGTCTTTATCAGCCGTATCATTCCTCTTTAGGAACGCACTTAAAGGAAAGTAGGACCACTACAAAATCACCTTACCTTATAATAAAGGGGACAAACGGTGCTGTGCTGAGTGCTGAGTGAGAGCCATCCATTGGAGATGGATACAGTCTTCCCAGGATTAAGAGCAAAAGAAACAGGCTTGGATGGATTTTCAACTCTTCAGTTTCACTAAATAAAAAGGTGTAAGAAGCATTTGGTGAAAGAAAGCATCCTCCTTCACACTAGACTTGAGCCTCTTCCCCATGAAATAGCCTTCCTTCTGCATCTCTGGTTCAAGGAGTTATCCTAGGCTAGGCTGATCATTGCATGGGAGTGCAAACCCTGCTGGGACCAAATATGGCATCCAGTTCTACAGCAGGGGACCCCTCTAATGAAGACACTCATGGCTGTATTGCCTTCACTTTCCCACAATATTCCAAGCCTCCTTTATTCCCAAATGTGGTGAGCTGCCTTAATTTTTAAATAGTATTAAAAACCTGCCAGATAAGGTTTCTCTATGAACCAGGAAACAGAGAGCGGAGTTACAAAGAGGTGGTTTAAAAAAAAACTATTTTTATCAATTTGAAAGGAAATGTGTGTTTAGTAAATAACATGTTTTACTAAAGAATAGTTCTTGTCATTGACACTGAGGGTCTACTATGCATATAGTAAAAACAATCAGAAAACCAAGTTAAAATCAATACTTTCTGATTTATTTAACAACTAATAATAAGATACAAGTCTTAATCCACACTGAAAAAACATTCAAGACCAACATTTCAGACAGCAGTTTTCAATCTTCAACTGCAAAACTTCCCAAAATTTGCCAGTGATGACACTGTCACCTTTTACGTCAGGTAGGGTTGACTGCTGTGCAGAAAATACACAACCTCTTTTCTTAGAGCAGAGACTGCAAAACATGGAATGACTGGTGAAACTCCTGCTTCCTAGGCCCATTAAACGGTCAGCTGAACCTCACCCATAAATCAGCTGCTCAACTTCCACAGTTTATATCACAGCATTTTAAGAAAAAACAAAGCCAGCACTAGTTTACTTTAGAAGTTCATGAACCTGGAGGTAACAGCGTCATCCCAAATGGTATCATCTGCATTGATCAAACTGTAGCTCTCAGCCACCATTTGTGGAGTCTTTAAAACAAGATCAAGGACCTTCCCCAGAGTCAGTGTACCACAGGCTGGAAAGTGTTCATGTGGTGTTACTTGAGGCCTATGACCCCCTATCACTTAAACATGCTGGGAAACCTCATTGTTAAATGTGAGACACTCAAATAACTGGGTTCTGCTTCCCTGAAAAACACAAGTTCCTTAACATCTGATCGTAAGAACACAGCAACTCTTAATTAGTCAACAGTAGTTCAATCTTTAGAGACTTAATGCAACGTGCCAAACTTAAAAGAAAAAAGCCGTAGCAAAAACATTAGAACTGTATAATTTCAAGAAGCACTGATGCATACAATGACACTAGGGTGTGTATGTGACATAACTCAGTTGAACCTTTCCACTTCACTTTGTATCTCAACGTTTTCTCAGACATCATCTTACCTGTTCAAAGTGCTGGTTACAACCTCTAACTGCTTGAGAAGGAAAGGATAAAGGCTTGGAAACCGAGAGAAAAACTCCCTTCCCGTCATTCTGCAGAAACAAACGAAGAGGAGTCATAATTAACATTCTGCAGTAATTAGTTACACTCAAAACATCAGTTTATTTGCTGTATTTCTGATGCTACAGTGAAGCTGGAGAGGCAGAAGAACCACACACACACAATGAACTCTCAAAGCATAATGTTTTCATGAAAAATAATGTTAAGAGTGTAGTCTACACAAGTAACTGTCTCTATGTGTATTCACTAACACTTTTTCGGCTAAACTGATCAGGCCTTTCTGGGAAAAAAAGGGATCTTAGCCCTTTATTCACACCAAAAAGAAAAAGATACAACAGTTTAAACTCTGACAGTATTTTAACAATATTCTGGTTGAACAAGAGAAGACAACACTTACTTCAGCATGGCTCATGTCCTAAATCGCTAATAGAATACACTTAATAGACATGAACTAAAAGATAGCTTGCTGATACTAAAATGCACCTCATAATAGTAATTCATGGAAGATTTGTAAAATGCAGTGTCGGAAGAGTCTGAGCTTCATTAGCCCTCTTTCCACAGTGCTGCTTCTAGCACATGGCAGTAGTGACACCGCAGGCCACATTTCTGCTTCCTTAGATGAAGCAACCATGTTCAAACCAGAGCAATGTACAAACACCTCAGGAACTCATCCCTAGCCAGAACCAGAGTAAGGTGGCACAGTTAAAACTGCAACAGCCAATCAATCCAAGCTAAAAAGATGTAAGTAGACATTTTCTATGTTTGTTTTACAATCTTCTCATCAGATAAAGGATGGCTTCATGGTTTATATGAAACTGTTCAGCATCATCGAAGCAAGAACCACTTTAATGTTGCCATGAGGAAGCTTGAATTAGACATAGATGGTATGAAGATTAAAAATACTTCCTTTAAAAATAAATAAATGAAAGGCCATCATTTAGAAAAACAAAGCAAACTGCAGAGTTTGCTTGCCACAAGATCAACAAAGATAAATGTTCCATGTTAGCATGACTCCAATGCAAAGCTTTCAAGAACCAGACAGATCCAGGTTTGGAAAAATAACACAATGAGATGGCAAGACTGAATGTGCATAAAAATAAGCAGACAAAAAAAATCATGCACAAGTAAACGAGCACATGGCAAATATCAGCACAACTCCTTCCAGCACTCAGCTAACATAACATGCCTTAGCCACAGGCCACAGAATAAACACAGCAAAACCAGACTGTTAGGTGCAAACAAATGTTCAAAGAGGGACTTTCCCAAGGCACTTAAAAAAAATTCTGTGAATATATATACTCAATATAGTGAACTGCTAGAACTAAAAAAAGGAATCTGCAGTAGCTCTAATAGCTACAAAAAAGATTTCAGATTAAAAAATTATATGGAAATATTAAAACCAAATTAATAGAAATTGAAGCACTAATGAGGACAATTTAAAGACATCAATATTGAAAATAACTGGTTATTTAAGCAGAAGACACCCATGCAATTTTTTCTAAGTGTCCACAAAACTACTTCAATTTTTTTGCATATAAAGTATATAGCAAACTGAAGATGCAAAGCCAGAGACAGCACAAAGCCTAAGATATATCCGATCAAAGAGCCCATCCTACTGAATTTTCCTATGTAAAACATTAAGAACTCAGAACTTTTTAAATACTATCCAAAAATGCTGTGACATGTCCATATCTTGTGCTACAGAGTGCAAAAAGCAAAAGCAGGACTGGGGTCAAGTTTCCTATGGAGTGGATGGCCACTGCTTAGAAATTTAAAAGAAGACTACATCCAAGTAGCACAAGTACTTCCAACCAAGTCCATTTTTAACATATTAAAAATTCAGTATCCACATTTGAATCAATATTAAATAATGGAACTGAATACCTTTACAAAGCCTCAAAATTCTTTGCAATTAGCATGGTTTCATAGATCTTTTTGACAGGAAAAGAAATTTATAACTACTGAAGTGGGTAACTTACATAACCTACCTAACCTCCTACTTGCTTTACTGCTCCAGAGCTTATTGATAAGAGAAGGCAGCCTAATAAAAACCACTGACAGGCAGTATCTGCAGAGGTGATGTCCACAGGCATTTTCAGAAAAAAGGAGACACAACTGTCTGAGCAGACTGTTAAAGGGCCTCCAGTTCAGAGGGGAAACAAGAAACACCACGCGTTATCAGAAGTGCTGCAAAATTAAAAAGTGTGCTCAAAATACAGAGCATTAATTTAAGTGTGAATTCACTACTTGGGATGTCAAGGCAAGGAGATGCACAATTGGGAATAAGCAGGAATTAAAACAACTAGAAAGTACAGAACAATACTGAGGAATTTGGTTGTTTCATTTTTTAATGCTGACCATGCTTTTTGCTCCTGGAAACATGTACACAGAACTATTTGTGCCCTGTAATCGAGACTGGAACAACAAGAAGTATAATGGTTCTGCTCTTCAAAACTGTTCATGACATTAAGCCACATATTTTATATTAATTTCATCAAAAATCATACTCCTTCAAAAAACAGGTACTAGCACTTTGAGATATGTCCCATGCATGCTAGTTATATGAACAGATTCATGGATGTACATATGCACACAATGTGAGTTGGGCTTCATAGGTAATAAGCTATCCATATCTTTAAAAGAAGACAAATCCCTGACATAGCTATAAAAGAACATATCAAGTAAATGTGGACTAAAACAACTCCAAAGCCACTGCCAACAGTCTTCATGAAACAAACTTTTTCTTCCTATTCTACAACAGATCTGACAGGGAACAATAGGTTTAAATTAAAAATACAGATAACTACTTTCCCATTAGTCACTGACATAGCTCAAACACAGATTTTTGGCAACAGAGCGACCATAATTAAAGTCCTAAACCAAACATTCTGCAGATCACAAGATTTTACATATACTCCCCTTAAAATGTCTTTATAAGAGAAGTAATTGAGAAGAGCCTTAAGATACTATTTTACCCCATGTCCAGCTGAAACTATTTTTATATTGCTTCAGAGATCATCTTCAACAGTATGTTCAACCACAGACTCCGAAATAGTTTTCTTTTTTCCTGTTAGTAACTCTGAGAAGCACAATTTCACAATCCAGTATTTCAAACAGGATAACTGAGACCCAAACAATGAACTGGTGGAAAGTTATTCACAGAGAGGAAGTACAGCAATGAAACACAAAAGTTATCAATGGGCTTATAATAAAATCCCTCTTTTCAAATGTAAAAAGTCATTCAAGTACATAATTAAAATGATACTTAATGTAGAAAGGCTGAGAGAGAAACTAATGGAAGCACTTATATCCCACTAAATTCATTTGCAAAAATAATTTGAAGAACTGTATACATGCAGAATACTGCAATACTTAAGATGCAGTATTTCCATCTCACAGAGTTTCCAGTTTAACAACATAATGTTTTTTCATGCAAGCAATGCTGCACAAAAGCCAGATGGCAGAGTACAACCCATTCACAAAAGGTTTCATTTTGATGGCTAGACACAGCAGTCAGGGTTTAATACTCAGAAGACTGACTAAGAATGTATACGTAGGCAGACATACAATAGGTTTTTTGCCATTTTCATTCAGTTCTCCCCACCTGAAAAGATGATCCATTAACAATAAACAGTAATACAGAAGTATCTTCTGTACTATGTCATATGGAATCAAGCTACACCCACCACTCCTAACACTTCTGTGTGCCCTTGAGTCAAATTCTGCCTCCTAAATAGATTCTGGAGCAGGCAAAAGTGGGGGAAGAAAAATCTTTCACCGAATATGGAAGTCCCATCAACTGTCAAGAAGTTACTCTGAAGGCATGTGATGATAGGAAGGACAGAATTTAACAGCTAGCAATAAGCACTTGGAAAATAACTGAATCACAGCTAAATTACAAAATCCAACTAATGCTAGGGGTAAAAATGTAAAAAAAAAAAAAAAAAAAGAAAACTCAAAGCCAACTGTAAGTCTGTAAGACTTCAAGGGAAAGTCTGGTTTAAGCACGATACACACTTCAGAGTGTCCATAGTGCTTCTTCAGAAAAGATGCAAAAACCAGTTTTACTTTTTCTGAAGAAACCTAACCCAGAAGCCCCTATTATACTCCTGAGTATCAACAGTTCTTCCATTCATTTAGCACCAGTTCTTTGGCTTTATCACTTTTCAGAACAGAAGCTGGGGTGGCTTAAATTAAGCCAAGAATCGTATGCTTTACAGTTTTCATGTGCTTTTGCTTGTGGCGATGTCAATAACATCAAAGTTCTAGAACCAATTCATAAATGCTGCTAAAAACTGGCATCTCCAATGATTACACAATTATGTTTGTCTCAGTAGCAACTTGATGCTACAGAACTCCAGGGCTGACATCTATATTTATTTAATTAATGTCTTTCTAACAAAATATTCCACCTTTATACATAACAAGTGGGTGGATTATTTAACTGCATTTAAAAATACATTTAAGAATAAAATCATGGATGTTGCGGTGTTCTTTTTAAAACTGTGCTGTACACCTAAGAGAACACTCCAGGAGATTAAAATTCTGCTGTGACACTGGGGCATACATATCATTTTACTGTGACATGTCAGAGATTACCTGCTTCTGTTCTTTCATTTATTTTTCAGAAGAATGAAGCTTTATAACCTTGTGGGCTATTTTTAGTAACTGACATGTAAAAGAACATCTGCAGCAAATATGTTCATATTTGAGTATAACATAGGTGAGCTTTAGAGACAATCTTCTGAAGGCAGCAAAGGTTTCTGGTGCTCTTTTTGAAACAAATATTGCTAACATCTCGTATCAGCTGGCAAATACATGGTCAGATATTTGACAGGGAAAAATAACACTACATTTAACAATAAAAAATAGAACTGGAATGTGAAAAAGATATAGACAAGGCACAGTTAGATCAGGACCAATAATATAATTTTGATGAAATTAGCTTTTTTTTTTTTTAATTGTCTCCTGTAAAATCTACTTGTGTTGTAACAATCCTTACATTGGAATCATTAACCCCATGTCAGATGAT